AAGAAAATATTATGTGATCATTGTTTGATATAGCGGCGCTGTATGCCTTTCATTCTACCTTCCGCTGTGCACCCATGCATTCGATTCCCTTTGAATAATGTACCACCTCCAAATGTAAATGAAGACAAGAGAAATGTATGCAATTAATTTCATTCAAGGGAAATAGTAATCATAGAAAGCAACAGGAAACCATAAGAAAGTGAAGAAATATGCTGGTGACATGTTTAAAAAAAAACAAAAAAAAAACGTGTAGATAGTCAGTAACTGGGAGGACCCGGGTTCAAAACCAAATCGATGCGGCCGTTAGAAAGGAATAGGCCAGTTCACGGTTAGCACATGTCTCGCCAATGACCCTGAATATCCACAGATCTTCAAAACATGAAGAGGTCCCACGTTGTACATTTTGAAATAATCATTCCTACATCGATGGAGGTGCTACATAAATAGTCTTTGTTTCCCCCTTTCAAAGAATACTTCCACCTGTGTATCATGGAGTGCACTGCTTGAGCATAAATTAATAATGATTACATAACTTTTATGAGCACATATCAAGTATTCATTTTGTCTCCGTGTATTTCACAAATTGGTCTGCAGTGACCTTTATCTATTCATGCTCAGACTGCAACCGTGAACTGGCTTATTGATCCTCATTATCAAGTCCCTCGGATAGGACTGAGAGCGGTTGGTTTTACTAGCTTAGAAGTTTACACTACTCTCACAGCCTTCAGGTAAAACAAACCAGTAAACCATCATAATGAGATAAAATAATGAAAGCCTATACTGTCATATTCATTGATTCGATGGTCTGCACAGGTCTCCAGGTGCAGTACTATTTTTTCAGATTGAGCGGCAAAATATCAGGAATGTTTACTGTGTCAAGTGCGGAAGTAGTGTCTAGCATTTACAAAGAAGTTGTCATCTCAAACATAAAAACACCTGCTAAGGACCTGACTTTAATATGCCAGAGTGAATTTAGATCATGCTGGTGCTTCGGTGAACCCATTTAGGGCGTTAACACAGTCCGAGAAATAACTATAGCTTCCACCTATTCAGCGCCCATCTGCCGGATGATACTTATGAATTAATCCAGTTTTGCCATATAAACGCAATAACGGCACTGTTCTTTGTTAAAAGGGACTAAAATAAATGTATAACATTTCCATTAATGGACAGAAGATTATTAATATGCGGAGAATATTCTCCTTTTTCTCCATTTTCGTGAAATTTAATTGATGCCACATTCTATGTTCTGCACACATAGAATCTATCATGCCAATTAGGTATGTGTAAAGAGACTAAGAGAGTTACATTATTTTACAGGCAGCTGATTGCCACACTATACTCACAAAGGTGAACGACCTGATTAAAGAAACTAAAAACCCTTCCTTAGCTTAATTAGTTAAACCACAAACAGCAATGCCTTTCCTGAAACAATCAGCATGTAGTCCTTGGGTTTGTATGTCGAGCATATATTATAAAAAGGTCTTTCCGTGGTTTCCGGTGACGATTATTATTTCCATTATGCCGATATTTTGTGTATGTTGCTTCGTAAAATACTGATAGCATTTTACACGATAAAGGAATTGAACTTGGCAGGTAAAATTCTGAAGCTGTTAGGAGGGTAATGAATAGCTTTGAAAGTCAATTCTATTTGTCATTGTTTAATTTATCGCTTGGTATTCCTTTGCACTGTTTGTTTTTGCATTCATATTTTGTATTTTGTATTGGTCTTTATTTATATTTGTATTTGTATTTGTATTTGTATTTTTGTGTTTTCTTTCTAAATTGCACAAAAACTTCCCCCATTTTGGATTGTACACGAGAACTGAAAACAAACAAACAAATATTCATATAGGCCTAGATGTTAATAATTATGAAGGCTACCTCAAAAAGTGAGGAGTATCTCCATATAGAAGCGGCTTTGAATACGTAATCATATTGTATATAGCCTATTAAGGGTGAACTTGTGTGGACACAACTGTATTGTGGTTATATCAAAGGACACAAAATGAACTCCTTGATGGAAATAACCAGAGGTTTGTAACATTATGAAACAGTTCAGTGAAGCAGATTCAATATAGCATTTTTTTTTTTTTACCGTTTCGTATTTCAGTTCTTGCACAATGCACTTTTGATGAATCAGAGAACTGTGGATTTCAGGTCATCCCAGACTTAGATGGTGTTCATCATTGGGAGCTATGGACTCTAAGTCGTGGGGGATCATTGGGGAGGAATTGCCCCCCTAGTGACCACACCCCTGGACTTAACCAAGGTAAGTTACACCTTGTTCTTTCAAGAGAGGTTCAATTGGCGGAGTAAGGCATAGCGTTCCATACACATTGGTGACATTGTAGATAGCCGTGTGGATGATTTAGAGTTCCGAATATAATTTTTTAGATCAAAATATGTGTCATTTCACTTCTTTATGGCCTGATCTAGTTTATGGTAGGGCTATAAGCACCATAAATACAATGGCCAGATATACACTAATAAGATATATGGTGGGTACAGCATGGGAGATTTTATTTTTGCCTTGCCCATATAGCAAATATGAATCTCAAGGCAGTGGCACAGGAATCCGTATATTGGCCAAATACTTCGATGCTCTTTCCTTTCTTTTCTACAAAAGGGACAATCATTTTGGTTCAAATAAATCTTCATCTGGATATATTTCCAGCTGGATATACCAGTGGCGCGGTAGCACTGTTCGCAGCCGTGTACGGTTGACAGCTTGGGCTTATAGTTCAATTACGGAAAGCACATGTTCATATCAATTAATTAGGGTTTGAATCTCAGTGTCGAAATAAGGGATAATTCAGGTTTCTATTTGTGTCTGGTTTGCCGGGCTAGGAGCACGGAAGCCATGTAGACGAATTGAAATCTGGGAAAATCAGAGAGCTTTGAAGCAAATGCAGGCAGGAAATGGAAAAACATAGCAATAAATTATCGGCTCCATAGTATATAAAGCTTTTCTCTCCTCCCTTCCCGAAATAGAAACGGCAGTTCTACGAACACGTTGCCCGAAAGATAGTAATTCTGAATACAAACTGGTTTTGTGTTTCATTCTCTCTTGTTTTCTTTTTGTTTCCTTGGGGGGGGGGGGGGGGGGCGAGGGGCTGTGTATGTTTTGGGTAAATGTGATTTACTCTTTAGACTAAAAAAACAAACAAACCCCATTTGTAAAAATTAACACAAATATTTGTAATACCTTCCAGAAATAAAAAATTCTACTAATTTATGTACTTAAACATCAATAATCAAGTTTTTCATCCAATAATACCTTAAGGAATTAGGAAATTCTTACTCTACGTGAAGCATTTGATGTGGTATTGCATAATTAAATTGTTGACCACCTACTAGGTGAATAGAAAATACCCATTGATTACTAATGATTCCTGTGATTAAAGCCCAACTGAACTACTTATCGCTATGTGCGCCCTCTATATACAATGTAGCAAACAATGCGTAATCGGTGACCATTGGTCCCCCATGGTCCCCATTTTTCTCATGTTAATTGAAAGCTGATTTGATGAGATACCCACCTGTCAGTGACCATGCAGGGAGTTCTAATCCCTCCTGGCCAAACTGGTGCAGATGGGCATTAAATCTTTCATACGAGCAATGGATCTAAATGATAATTCATTTGTATATTAATTAATCAATGACATGTTGTATTTGTCACTTGCATCATTGTCCAGATTTTTTTGCGAGCAGCAAGTCCCTGGAAGACACGGCGGCGCATGAATTTCACACTTTCACCACCAAGATCATCTCTCCTGAGAAGAACTTCACTTCCGGTATGGGTCGGATCTCTTTCTATTACTACCTATGGATAGCAGACGACCCTGAAGGAAACGAAGACACCTATCCTTCCCTGAATGTCGTAGGATGCGATGGGGCGCTGATGTGGACTAAGATGAGTTTTACTGCTGGCTGGCTCTTTGTCGAGATCGATTTCCCGTGCCCAACAGCCGGACAAGTTAGTTATTACTTTCTGTAATCTTTATAGTTCAAACTTATAAATGTTGCAAAAGGTATGCTTTCAGTTTTGGTTTTTATGAAACCATTTTCTATAGGACCTAACAAATATGTTTTTGTTTTGTGGTAGGATATCTTACTTGTCATTGATTAAAAGAAACAAGAACCATTCTAACTGAATTATTGCTTTTAAGTAAGAAAGGTAGCCATTTATATTGGTCAACCCTTGCTTAAATTAATAGCCTTCCAGCTTTTTTTATAAGATTGAACAAGTTGTCCCAGGCTAATGGCCTAATCAGCAGAAACCTAGTAATAAGTTTAATTATAGTTTATAAATTGAGTGAATGCAATTCGAATGTCGCTGTTTAATCATTACAGACGAAGGCACATGATCCCTATTCCGAACTATATACATCTACCTCGGTTGGTAAAAGTACTTCATACTGTTCGATAAAATATTGCGTGCAAGAATCTGATATTGTACTCGATTGTTTTCAAAGTATAACCCCATAGTGCACTTGCAACTATAATAGATCAAAAAGTTTAATCCAGATGGTTGAATGAAATCACCTCAAAACGGTCAATCGACAAACCAGACAAGGAGTGAAATATAATGGCCGTTGTATTTTCTTCACCGTGTTAGCTGAATTTATCACTGACTTGGTATTTTTCGGAACCAAGGAAGAGTCTTTAAAAAAATAAAAAAATTGTGATGACAAGTAGCAAACATCTATTGTCAATATTCACCGAGTGTAAGTTGGTTATGTTCTTTGATGCATCTTAAAACCGACATTTAAAAATGTAATGCCTCGATCAGCCTAAACTCAGAAATGTTGATTAGCTTTGAAAATAGGGGATATCTGTTGATATATCAAAACCATCAAAGTTCTGTAAAATTATTCTTAGTTTTTTAATCTTGCACAGAGCGGATAACTTTTCTCTAATACTTTTATACTTCACAGTAAAACAATCACTCTAAAAACAATACTGCTACATACGTAGGTAAAATTGATAGAATAAGGTGATAGCCTGAGAGAGGGGATACGTGTCAGATGAGGAGATTAGCTTGTTGTCTGGTCGTGATTGTAACGGGTTTGGATTACTGAAAAGGAGATTGAGATTGAGAGAGAGGAAACCGAACCGGAATGACAGGGTACTATAGATTGTTAAAAGGTTACTTTTTAAGGTCATCACATCTGTTTAAATCAGTATTTGACAATAGGATTGTGTTACAATGAAATAAAAAATAATAATTGTAGGTCCTTGTATAGCACTCATGGCTGTTGAACTTGACACTTTGGCGCTCCTCAATTATTACCCCGGCTTTGGCATGGCGTCCATTTTACCGCTCTAACATTTCAAGTAATTTATTCCTGCTAGGTACCCATTACCTTACTTGGTGAGTGTGGTAAATGTAGATTAATGTGGCAGTGATTCGAACCCCAAACCCTGTGTTTTGTAAAAAAAAAGATATGATTGCTTGTTCTGTCCTGTCCAATTTCAATCTTCTCGGAATCAATCCGTCATAGTCAGCACATTCAGAAAATAAATATCGAATTGAATGTTAATTTCAATCATTCGCGATTCCATAGTTAAAAAGCATGATATTCAGGGTTACGAGCCGGGGTAATAATCGGGCAGCACCATGAGCATCACGACGTGACGGACATGTGCGCTATATAAGGAGCCATTATTATTATCATTATAGTCTTTGATTGTCGGGTGCACCTACAGTGTAATGTTAGTTTACTAGGACATTCTCGACACCTCACCATGTAAAATAAGAGAGGGAATGCAAAACATAATTACATACAGATGTGTGCACGAAATGATCACACCTAGAACTTTCGAAACACCAACCCAAGTCAATTTCAGTACGTCATCTTTTGAAATGTGAGAAGTGAGAACATCACCATGACATAATAAAAGTCCAAACTAATTAGTCCAAACGCGGTTTCTGTAGGACATAAAATAAGGTAGTGAAATTACCTAAAGATGATTTCTCGGAAGTCCTCGCGATCGTGTTGCACAGTTCATACATTTAGTTTATCTTTCTCAACCACATTGTTGTTTTAGGCTTTACACCGTCAACAATCATTACTTTAAACCTTCCTTCTTCTTTTATATATTATGATTATATCGAGCTATGATTTTAACTAAATGTCTCTGTACTTAATGTCAGATCAGTTGCACTTCTTTAAAGCCCCACTGCACTACTTTTAGCTAATTGCGCCCTCTACGGTATACAGCCAGTAATGCCTAAGCGGTACCCGTTGATCCCCATGATGCCCTTTTTCTTATGTTGATTGAGAGCTGATTTAATGAGATAAACACCTGTCAGTGACCTTGAAGGGAGTTCTAATTCCTCCATGCCAAACTAGTGCAGAGGGGCTTTAAGAGAGGTAATCAAAAATTTGGAGTGATAACATGCAGACGTTTGCAAAAGATCCATAGTTCACAAGTTCGCTTTTATATTTCTCAATCAGATAATGTTTGAGGCATCACATCGGCGACCAGGCTCAGGGGTAGCTATTGATGACGTCAAGATCCTCGAGATTCCATTCTTCACAGGAGGTAATGATATCGAAAGAAAGATTTCGATGGTTCAGTGACACAAAGACGTAACTCCATATTTTGCCAAAATGAGTCTTTGATATCAAAATGTTCAGAAAAATGTTGGCTTTCAGGAAACACAAACTCCACCCAACACCCCATTAAAGTCAATGGCTAACGAAAATAGACTTAACTCCTTAAGGCCCAACTGCTCAGTAACACATAAACCACTTTTTCTCAAATGGCCAAAATGAAGTTACGTCTTTGTGTCACTCATCCCTCGATTTGATAAGCAATCTATTGGAATCGAACCAAACAATGGAAGTAACTTCTTCATTTCTCGAAACCGTCAAAAGTTTAAGGTTCATGGAAATCCCATTAGGACAAGTTCAAATTCCATGCCCTGCTTTTTATGAGATATCCATGAACTTTAATCTATGAGAGCAGTTCAGAGAAACTGGCCTCTGATCCCCAGAGAAGGGGAAATCTTAGATGTTGCGCCTCGAAGTGTCCATACAATTGGTCCATCTCTATAATCATGAATGGTTCTGTCTGTTAATGATTGGAGAAAATTTCATACCCCTACATATCTTCCAGAATCCATTCGACCAACAGTTGATATATAAATTTTGGAAATGTTAGGGAAATTGTGTTAATGGATGATTTAATTTAGCCTTGCTTTTATGCGCCTTATCAAATTCAAGCCGTGTTCTCACGATGGCAATTTTGGTGGGCGTAAAGGTCGTGTTTAGAGCTAGTCGGCGTTAATATGATAAGGTCGGCGTAAAGGTCGGCGTAGTGACCGTCTGACCGATAGTCGTGTTAGCTACGCCGAGCTTTACGCCGACTGATTTACTCCTGGATTTTCCACAAGTAACGCGCAGTATGGAACTCGTAGTATCTGTGACCTTTCACAAGTGTTATTTGTTTACAATCGAAAATGAAAATTAGATTTCGCGCGGTTTAGATGCGGAAGGTGGGTTGAGGTCGATGGTGCGGGCGCCACCACTTCCAGAAGTTACTCTGAGTACGACTGGGTCGGTGGAAGGCCGTGTTAACTTAATCGTGGCAAGTTGGTCCGAGTAAGAGCGTGTGGACAACAAATGGTGTCATTCAAATATTTATGGAAAATGTATTGTTGCAGGGAAAAACTTACGCCAACTAGGAATCCCCGTCTAAACATGGCTACTAATAGGCCATTTTCGTAATGTAACCAGATGGACATGTTTACACTAGTGCCTCGATACGAATTGTTTCATTCACCTGAAACAAATACTTTTAAGAGTCAGGATGGAAATGGCATATATTATGTTTAGCTATAGATAGGACCAGATCCATCTATACACAGAGTTTGGCCAACCCAGTTCGAGTTGGACACAATGTGGAGACTACTGCTTTGTTGGGCAAGCACAAAACAAAATAAGAAATAACATGTTGTGACCCAGTGAAACCAAGTTGGTAAAAATATGTATGTAAATGGCTCTGGGTAGGACAAGATTGCACGACGAGAACGAGAACGTGGACTGCTACATGTGACATCCTTTTAAGGCGATGTGACGTCCTTTTAATAATTCGTATCGAGGCGCTTCACGAAGGCATGTGCATACATTTTGGTTACATTACGTAAATGGCCTATTAGGCCTAAAAGAAAAATTAACAATTTAATAGAGATAGAGATGTATATCCGTGTAAAGATCTATATCATTCAGTCGTCTATTTGATAAGTTTCGTCATGCATCATGCACAGAGATATAGTAATTGAGTACTTTCCTCCATATACCTTGATTTCACTAACAGATTCCGGAACACCCAAGCCCCGTACTTCAGGAGTGGTTCCTCAACCATCTAGCCCGTCTGCTACATCCAGCCTTTCTGATATGTCAAATGGGCAGACAACCGTAGCTTTGGGCATGGCTTCTGGGAACGGAGGTGAGTATGGAAAAGGTTCTTCAAAACGGACACGATCCTACAAGACGCTGGTTTACAAATGGTCCAATTACGAAGATAATCAAGTATCCGACCATCCGACTCAGTATCTTAAAGACAATGGCCCGAATTCACAAAGGAGGTTTGTCGACAAACCTATGTTTAGACGCGTTTTGACGCGTTTCAGACCAAGGTTTGTCTGAATCATGGTTTAAACGCATCGAAACGCGTTATATGACGCACATAAACCTAGGTTTGTCGACAAACCTCCCTTGTGAATTCGGGCCAGAGGGTGTCGAGTACTAGTAAAGATGAAAATGAATTATGATCTATCTCATTCTGGGTTTTTCTAAATCTCATTTTGGAAGAATATCATATCTCCAATGACCCTATAATCGAAATATAGCTGAACGGTTTGGACCGAACAGTCATTGAACATGAACAACGTGTGTGTGCTCCCATATACCCATTTCTGTGTTCGGTGCCCTTGTTTGTCGGCAGCTCTGTGTCAATTCCATATTCATTTTGGTCATCCTACAACTTCACAGAATATGTCAGTACTACAGCCCCAACCTTCATCAATTGCTCGCAGGCAGTTTCTTTTAATCGCATGTTTGCTACAAAATATTTTCTTTAAATCAATTCCAGGCCAAACTTATGTTTAATTTCGTCCATTGTCTTACGTGACAAAACTTAAAAGGCTTACAAAGTGAGGGAAAGCCCAGCTTTTGGGCAGGCGATTCGTAGAGACTCGTTTTCAACTTCTAACATTTACACAATTTAAACGGGGAAAAGCCCCATATTCAAATACATTCATTCTGTTCATATGTAGGTAATTATACGGGTTTGCTATTATTTTAAATCAAATGATAGTGTACACGCAGATTTTTATTTACACTAAGGAGTGGTTTACACTAACGGAATATATAATGGTATTTTTGCAGTATGCATTGATGTCAACATCCTTGTGATATTACACGAATTATCAGTGGATAACTGCAACTTACATGACTTATCGGCTAGTTCCTTGAATTCGAGTTTTGTGTCATAGTTTGATAACTTTCTTAGCTCCACTTCACAAGTCATAATACATTCTCGTATTTATTCTTCACACATCCACTCGAGTCGCGGGTATTTATTGTCCATTTCTATGTCCTTTTTTTGAAGATCGAATAGTCATCATCGTAGTTGCCTGCTTCCTTGGAGCCGTACTGATCTTTGCAGTCAGCATCACAATTCACTGCTACTTCTGGAGGAAAAGAAAGTAAGTTTTTTATAGTCAAAACGTTTGAAGGTAATATGATTTTCATCCAATCGTTCTTTTTGTCTACTCCTTCCGGCTGCCACACGTATAAGCTTCGGCAACAAATTCTCCGCGGTTAACATCCTACACTAACCATCTTCTTAAATTAAACCCTGCTTCAAGCACTATATAATAACCCATCCTGTGCCCTGTTTCAACGTTTTGTTAGTTGCAAATGATATTGATTTGTATCAGATTTGCTTACAACCAAATTCAACTATTTCAGTAGCTTATAATCATGGAAACAGTGACTGTAACTTGTTGTTGTCACAAGTGTTATGAACGGGGCTCAGAACCATCAATGTATTAAATCGAGAACCCAATTACAACCTTAACCCTACACCTGCAACTAAATGCATTCCGGAGCACTTGTCACATTTGCAAATGTCACCCTCTTTCTAGCTCCTTTCATTCTTACTTTTAGATTCCCTACTTCCGGCACCAACTATAAAGGTTGATCATAACTGGTTAAGAGACTAACAAGCCCTTAGTTAAATCTTTGGTGATCTTGAGCGTATATTTTTTCCCCTAGTTTTGTATTCATTGAATTACCATTTACATATTTACCGACAGTAATGCCGATATGAATTCGACCACTTTCAACAAATGAACAATGATGGATAAGAAATCTACTGTTTGCAATAAAGATCGACGGTGATGTTGATAAGTTTCGGTAAATAATAATAATAATAATACTCAGTTTTTATATAGCGCTTATTACAATCACTAAGTGCTTCCAAACTTGGAGATTATTACCCTGGCTTTAGCTGTGCTGCCATTACAGCGCTGTAGCATTTAAAAGAATGAATTCCTGACAGATACCCATTTACTTTTTTGGGGTCGAGTGTGAGGTTTTAGGCGTTATAGTTAAATTATCAACATTTACATGTCCAGTAAAGCAAGCTGTTCCCTCGTATCATCCACTCGTCATAAATGGCGATATTATTCGAATACTACTCAATATATAATTTCAACAAACATGTTTAATCTTCTCCAGGCGAGCCAACCAGCGTCATCTGACGGACAACACCAATGGCCTTCACGTGTCTAACACCGGGTATGACTTCCTGACAGGAATCGCCGGGGTGAACAATGGCAATGGATCCAACAAGAGCAGTGCAACAGAGACTACCACTTTGTCCACTATCAGCAAGAGCGTTGGGGGACCTTCCTATCAGATGGAGGTAGTCTCAGAGAAGCGCAAGGGTAGTGGTACCTTCGTGAAACGAGGTGAGGGGTGTCAGGTACCAAAAGGAAAACGGCGCAGTATTGGCATGGTGCATTTCAGGCGAAGCAGAAGCAGCAAGGAAAAGAGCTTTGAGTATTCTGAGATTCCGGATAGCACGTCACCTACGGACAAGAACGTATATCAGTTCCTTACGACTCCGAGGAAAGAGGCGAACGGGAAAACCCCAAAGCTCGGTGAGATCGGTCGCTCGGCGAAGATCAGTGACGCCGATCGAACGGCGAGGGTTAGGAGAAGCAACTCGTTACCGTCCAGGAATAGTGTTGAAAGTACATCAAGCAATAGGGTGGAAGGGCCTTACCATATTACGGATCTCATCGGTAATATCACTATTGACAATGCCATCTTCCCGTCTATGGAAACGGTCGCATATGATGATCGTTCATTGGATCGAAAGGAAAGTGTCAAATATGATCTACCCCAACTAGTCCAATCAAGACAAACCCTACCGGCATCGTCTAATCTTGAATATAAAGCGCTCGAACCTAGAAAAAGATCCAATAGTTATGACGTACTGCAAATAAGTACACCAACTCTGATCTCTCTCAGTGACGAATCCGTAGGTGACAATACGCATCTGTATAAAGAACTCGAAAGACAGGACGACGACGACGATTACGATTTCCTAGATCCAACCACAGTCACAGGGAAGACACCACGTGATTCGACAGATTTCGAGAACCCTCCACAACCACCACCTGTCTCGGCAAAACCGATTTCGCCATTCATGCCGAGGCCCATGGCACATGGGTCTAACACACAGTCTCCACTCCTTGCCGTAGTCATGTCAGAAGAGGGGTCAAAGACTTTGGAAAGCGCCGTAGTCGTCCGCGACCCCAAGTACTACACGCTCTCCCCAAATCTGGTGCGCGATGCAAGCTACGATTATCCCGACATGGTGGTGGGTGATGACGATGACAGTCCTGGAGACAAAGCTAGTGATGTGGACTCGAACATATACGAGAGCTTTGAGCGCCCAGTAACGCCAAATGATAAACGCAAGCGATCAACGCCGAATTCTCGGCAAAGTTCAAAAGAAACTAGCATTGACGTTATTATTCCCTGCCTTGATACTACAGCGAAGAAGGACAAAAATACATTCATCAAACAACAACAGCTCGCGAAATTTCTAGACGATGACTATGAGAACGTTGCATAAACTTTGCACAAATTTTGTATGTTCTTCACACGATAATGTTATTGTCATATCTTTTTAAAATATGTTATTGAATACAAGCGACATATCTCCTAAACAAATAATATGGTTTAATATAATTCAAATGCCTTTGCTATTCATATCCAATAGCTTTTTTCTTCATAATAAAGAATTTAATATTGATGTGGAAACACAAATTGTGAACTACTTATATTATGAGGAGACATGTTCAAGTGTTCGTTGTTGTATGAACATTGTTTTCTATTTCAGTTTATTAGGAGCTGTTTGTTTTGTATATTATATATATCATTTCTACTTTTGTAAAATTGGAAACGAGTGTGTTTTTAGAAGTTATATTTGATAACGTTCATGCACCTGCTGTACACCTCAATATGTATCCTACAAATTGTCTCAAACAAAGTTTGACAGTACTAAGTACTTCTGTTTGATACATTTATTTTAAGAGGAAGAAAATCATAACTGTACATATTTGTCTATTTATATAATTAGTGCTTGTCGAGTAACAGCTCTAATAGCTGCTTAGTTACGGAGAAATAAAAACAATACACCAAAAAATCCTAAATGACTTTGTTCCTCATAATTATATTATATGATAATGATTGTTCAGGTGATGGAATTTGCACGATAGAACCACAAATATTACTAGGTAAGAATATGCAGAATGGAAAAGTTTCCAATTGCTATCCTTATTCACATTTCCTTAATTAATGAGAAACCCACAATAATTATTTCAGAGTGCATCATAGAGACTGTAAAAGAGAGGGAGAGAGAGAGAGAGAGAGAGAGATAAAGAAAGAAATTGAAGAAGATATACCGAAATATATGGGATCATGCTTTCAGGGGCATATTTATTTCCATGAAGACTTATTTCTAAAAGAAAAAAAAATAATACATCATATCGTTGATAGGAAAGGGGAGTTAACATTTATCAAAGAATTTCAGAAAATGAGTTTAAACAACATTGAAATAAATTTTAAAAAACAGTTATATGAAGCCATTCCGTTCTCATGGAAAACTCTTTTGAATATAAATGAACATCCTTGTAAGGATACCAAATAAGTTTAGAATTTATTTTTAACGGAAAACCACACTCTTGGCAATGCATATAACATCAAAACATCTCCATAGTACATTGTTAAAGATGAGAACGGAAAATCTTATGCTACATGTAACCTAGAACGTCCATATAATATGGTCGAAAAATGACACGAGAACAATTTTCTTAAGACCCAGAAAATCCACTTAGGACAGAAAGCTGAGGGAATTTCAATATAAAATTGTATAGAATTTAAATGTATACGAATAAGCATCTACTTACCTGCAAACATGCAGTGAGCAATCTTAGCTGCTTTTGCGAAAAACACAAAGAGTGTTATGAACATCTGTTTTTATTTTACCTGTGAGAAGCTAACAAGTATTTGGAAGGACTGTGGTGACTTTTTTGCTTTTTGTCTGTGACAGATTTAACCAATCACCACAGGCAAGAAATTCATATCGGAATAAAAGGATCAAATGCGGGAGAAGAACAACTGTTAAATCACAATATTTTTTTAACAAAACATTTGACTTTTAAGTACAGTTCAACTACAAATAGACCCCCAATTCCTCGAGAAATTAAAAAAAGAATTCTAGAAAGTAGACAAGAAGAAAAGGAATTGAATTGAATTGAATTGAAATTTATTTCCATCATCATGACAATAAATACAAAGATAAAATATGGAATTTCATAACATGTACCAATATCAAATTAGGGGGGGAAAGGGCACTTTAACACTTCACTTCAGAAAATGGGACAACCTCCAGAGATATCTATTTTTAAGAGATTAAGAGACCGGGCTCACCATTACAATAATTATAACATTTCTGGACAAGATAAACATAAGACTACACCTCAACTAATAAAATAAGCAAACTCTAACTTCATGCATGTGATTCGTCAGGCATTAGAGTTCCATGGCGTCTCCATTTATGAGAGAAGAAATACTGGTGTCGCTTCCGTTCTGGTAGTTCTTCTATGAATGACCTTTCACTAGCTCCGCCCTGTAACTTTAAGGTGACATCCCTGCTTTCGGTATTTTCTCCCGAATTTGCCTCTTTGCCCCACGGTGTTGGTATACAAAATGGTATATCGTCGGTCGGATGGCAAGATATATAGTACAAGATCATGACCAGGATTCCCACGAAGAACCCGCCCCAGACGAAGCCAAGAGCGGGAATGGCATATACCTCTTCCTTCGACTCTTGCTCACTATACCATAAGGCAAGCATAATGGTGTTTTCAATGAATATCACCGTGTAAAAGGCGAGCGCTCGGTATCTTGTGTGGCCGTCTTTCATGTTAAAGAAGCAGAAGATGTGGATAATGCCTATAACTGCAATGAAGGGTATCTCATCATACATTGCATCGTGGAATTGTGTCTTTTGCCATTTCAGCCAAGCGGTCATAACCACTATTATTTCTACATTACTAATGTGCTTTAATTTGTATATTCCCCTTTCCTTAATATTTATTTATAATCTGCATGGTTCAACCGTACCTTGTATTTCTCTTTATATATACGTGACTTATTTCTTTGATTTCTCTTAAGTTCTTTGATCTTCTTTCTTCCCATTCTTGCTACCGTATTTCTTCGGTATGTCGGTCTCTTGCGCTGCTGGTGTAATATGAGGAAAATATATATTCATTTTGTTTTCCTATACCCCATCGGTTTGATCAAGCAGTGAGACAAACGGATTCAGAAATGTAGCTCAGACACAGAACTATATTTAGAAGAAAAAAAAGCTTGGAAGTGATGAAATAGGGGTGGGGTCAAACGTTAATATGTGAGGGCCTTGAAGATTGTACCTGTCAACCAGTGGAACTCTTTGCTCTCCAACATGATGTAGACTTGTAAGACAAGCTGAGGAGCTGATTCCATGAATGCTTCTTGAAGACGTAACATACTGATATCACGATACTCGAAGATCATCAGATTGTAGTATGTATAATCGTGACGACTCCGCAGGCCATATTTTACTGTGCGCCAATATCTGTGATTGTGGGCGAATCGTAAAGATGTTGACTCATCGGATACTGAATTATTATATTCTTAATAGGTTGCATACATAAATCACCCTGTTCAAGACTTAGTATATAGGCAATGGGATAAATGAACATTTAGATTTCTACAAATTTCACATAATATGTAAACAGAATATCAAATATTAATGCAATTACGGTCGGATTAATGTGCCTCGGCATCAATAAGGGTTGCGTACCGAGATTGTTTGATTGTGTTCTGTCTTACAAAAGAAAATGAGGTTTTAATCTATCTTATCATATCTCTTTATCAACAATGTATTCCCAATCGAAAGTCTACCCAACCACCAATAAAAGAGCACCTTAATTCTGTTCGATAGTGGGGAACTAATAAAAAAGAAATTATAAATACTGAAGCTGAATGGTTATCTTCACAGAGTTGAAATTTCATACCATGTCCAACTCCTGTCTGGCAAGCTACATCATATGACTAATCACTGAAGGGGCAAAATTCTGATGGGGCATCAGTTTCGTGCATTGGATTTATGAAAGTGGAAAGGCCATAGATCGAGGGGATTCTTATTCTCAGTTTGATTTAGCCCTCTTGATATTTGTCTCTACGTTTCAATCCCGCCCCTTTTAAATTTACTTTGTAACCATTTCTGCTCTACTTTCGTATCTACCCCTTTTTCCCTTTTTTAGACCAATCAGTGTCGAAAAGCCTAAACTGCAGTGCAGGTGCTTTGGGGAGGAGCTTATGGGTTCTCGCATTAATATTCTACATGCGCCTTTCGTATTTTTTTTTTGGGGGGGGGGAGGAGACGCCAGAACCACTACTGCTAAAAAAAAATCTTACTTTTTGTCATACCTTTTAATCGCTCCAAGCTGTAATACATGCGTAGCTAGCCACTGACACCACGCCCATAGCTTCTTCTTCAACGCTTTTGATTCGTACTTTGTTTCCTCCTTCATATCTAAGATGTACCATCGAAAGCTAAAGTACTGCAGGATAATCGAAGGCACAAACACAAAGACAAACGTCATGATACTCCATAATATATCGCCTCGTCTGAAATACTGTACGCCGACAACAAGATCTGTTACGAAATCCGCTATGTACAGCGCCATGCCAACTATAAAAAACATGGCGTCGAACAGGGTGAATGTGCCTTCATGTTCCGACGATTCACAAGGGCTCGTCTGCTCACTGTCATCACGACTCGTCAAGTTGATTTGGATGTTTTCGCCATCATCAGTACCGTCCGTTGACATGTTAAATAGCCTATGCTCCAGGTATCACCTACCTTGCAGAAATCAACACCTGCTTGTGGCCAAAACCTTTACTTGTTACATGTGCCACTGATTCTCCGGAACCTTTTCACAGCGTGCAAAGCGGTATCGTTATCATTTTTTCTTCGGGTTCGGAGAAATTGTTCTTACAATATTTACATCATTTATGATCTGAGCTATATTTGCTTTTGTGGTCCAAATTCCAACCGAGCGACAACGAGCGTATACATACTTAGCTTCAAGTGGTCATGCCCTGGACGAATACAACAACTTGTATTGTGTACATAGCAATTGATTTTGCGGCCCATTAGTATACAGGTACAAATGTGGATATAGGGCAGGACGAAGTTAACTCCAACATCTATTGTAGACGTGTTTAAATGTAGAAGATGGGAGGGGGCTAGTGGATATATTAGGACAGAAACATACCCCCCCCCCCCCCCCTCTCTCTCAGAAAAAACACAAACGTGAAAAACCCTTTCATAAGATGCTAAAATTGATCATTACGGGAAGAAATTCACACTCGCATCTTCACGCACACGAACATAGGCGCGCACACACTCACAAACTCACACGCACATGCGCGCACACCTCTCCAGATTCAATTCAATAAAGGTTTTATTCACATGACATTATGGCAGCCGAAGCTGAATTGCAGGTCATTTACAAGATATGTTGGTTAAAATACATGTAAACATGTAAACATGAAATAAAATTAATGACATATAAAAGGATAATTATACTAGATACATTCATACGTATAATAGACAGGATCATTAAACATAAAAATATACAAAATGCATGAAGCTTACTTTTTTAAATAATAATCAGTTAAGAATAATTTAAGATTTGAGACGGTCGCATCGAGTCGCGAAATAACGTTTATATGGGGGAAACGGGTCAATGTCTCGTTGTTTGCCTCTTATTTTTCAATTTGCCAATGACATACGTACATTAGATACGTATATATATTTTTCTGTTCGCATGAGTCAAATGATGGATCAAAAATTTAGAACTGAGGGCGAGAAACTAAATGGTTCGAAGGAGAAACAAAAAAGCTGTAAAATTGTCATTCTAGCTCATTTATTTTCGCTCTTAAAGAACAAAACAACATAAAAGAAAACAAAACATTAAACAAAAATGTAATGTTCATAATTACATTAGTAAATATAAAGTAGGCTAAGGGATCATAAGCATGATTAGAGCGATGTTGCTTGTCTGCAGTGAATCCATATGAAAATACAGCAAAGGCCCAGTCGCACATCTATAAATCTGTAAAGGGCAATCCAACCTTTGTATTTAAAGGTAAAGACCAGTTATGGTCATGCGATTGCATTATGAAAGAAACGTTGTGGAATCGATCAGAAAAGGTTGATCATCTAGCATCTAGCATCTGCAAGGTTCTGGAATCATCAAAATGATAAGAAATTTGGCCCATTCTTCGTAAAGTTACAAGCACTATACACAGAAAGATGTATATGGGACTACCCTATATCTCTCACAGACCATGAGAGAAACAAATTTACCAAATATATGAATTAGTAGGCGGTTTCCCGGCAAATTTTGTATCATCATGTATTAGTCAAAACATATTCTTTCACATGATTGGTAATGAGAGCTTCCATTTCATTTTTTGAAATTGGGGCGTTTCCAATACTGGTCTTTACCTTTAAAGGGTTCATTTGTATGAAAGCAGAATAAAAAGAGAATCTGGAAGACGAATATTTGAAGTTAAACAGACCAATAATAAGAAAGTTAGTTTGAAATATTATGTGACCATTAAATCTTTGCAAATCTCAAGTTTGCAATTTGATCACTGGATTGTGGTGTATTCATGGACTCATCTACAGTTTGTAGTGTACACAAAAAATATCAATTACAATTTTTCTCCTATTGTTGGGCACTATTTAAAATGTAATATGGATAGCATATTATTAAAGGTCCTTCATAAAAATGACCGTCATGGGTTATACCTTTTCAAAAATTAAACTTTTAGTCATTTTCTGGGTTGAAACAATAGAGAAAGTTGTCCTGCACTACGTCACAGTGACATTACCAAGTCAGTCAATTTGAAGTGCTAATACGTAAAGTGATTACAACTTTTTTGGTCCGATTTCGTTCAAACTTTCTCCAGTCTACTTCTATCATTTTTCGGCTTTTGTTTGGATTACTGACTTCATGAAGGTTGGAATTCGTTTAAAACATTATAAACGCAACGAATGGAGGAAAGTACGACAGATTATGGAAATGACAGAGAAGATGCGAGAACACCGCAAGCGGACTAGAAGAAGTACAAGTTTCAAAGAAAATGTATGGCTCGTCAAATGTAAATACAAAATAATATTTATAATATATATAATATGTATTCATGAATCTTTTATTGAAGATCTTCGATGTACTGCAATAGTAAGTAAGGGTAAAGACTTTTACACTTGATATTGTATCGATATTCGTCGAGATCAATATGAACTCTTGCAATTTCTAGATCGACTTCATGTACATAGTGTGTTTCATTAAAAATGCATATACATATTCAAAAGTGTTATGATGAAGTTTTGTCTTAGAGGAAAGTGTGCATGGCTGGATGTTCACTTAAATTCTCGGCTTCGGATTGAGTAGAGTATTGTTGTAACCGTTGTCAAGCCCATTATTCAATGACAATGATTTTTTATTTCTTTAACGGCCCCTTCTGGGGCATGGAAGAAATACAGTTGAATAGTACATAATAATGTTCAACAATGATATTCATATGGATTTTTTTTTTTTAACACACACAGAAAGTCTTTAAAAACAAGAAAATCTTTGGCAGCGAACAACAAACAAAATGAAGGCAAGCTTTAGGATATCGGTATACTTAAAAAAAAATGATACCCTACATCCCAACTGGCAGTACTAACACTACTATATACATATATGTACACTATGCTACTAAAAAAACGGCAACAACCAATGTGTTTGCGTTTCGAAAGAGATTTTGACTATTTCGTCGCCTGTGAATAGCCGTCCTAATGAAGGCACTGATGATTCAAGGAACTAATTCCTACCGCTGCCACTCCACCTGGGTCAAGTGTGGCAAATGGACTTTACAAGTATCAAGCCAAGGTCGTCGGTGATGTGGTATAAATTCGAACCCTGTACTTTGATAATACAGTCCGGTGACTTATTTACTAGACCACAACACCTCTACTAGCCAACATTAAAGATAAACTCCAGTACTGGTAAAAAAAAAAAATTCTCACAGAATCAAACGAAACTTACACTGAATGTCCAACATTACAAATAAATGACATGTGCCAAACAATTTTGGAAGAAAATGTATACTGGCTGAGTAATGAGCATAGAAAGACAAGGAAATCAAGGTAGTACTAGCCCCGACACCATGTGTGTTGTCCCATATATAGCTTTCTATGTGAGTGCTTGTTACTTTACCAAGACTCGGTCAAATTTATTATGATTTTGATGACTCCAGAACCTTGCAGTGCACACCAATACTTACATGCTACATGATCAACTGTTTCTGATCCTTTCCACACCTTTTCTTTCGCAATGCAATTGCATTACCAGTTCTAAAGTTTATCTTTAAGAAGCCCTGAAAGAACTTGCTATTAAAGTTCACATGACGCCGTGTCGACCTTTCATATGTCGTGCCTGTAGCATTCACGCTTGTGACTAGCATTTCAGGATCCTATTCGGATATTGTTGTTTGCAGTTGCCCGAGAAGGGGTCGTCACTTGGCATCCACGTAATTGATACTCCTTTCTGTCAGAAATACCTTGGGATGTATGCGACGCCGCCATGTGTAGGAGAAAAGGTACCGGTATCTATCACTTTCTGACACTGTCCTAGTTGAAGACGTCGCATCCACAACGTTGTCTGCACATTGTACATTTGCCATTTTTGTCATGTTTACACCGTCAACTTCTTCATTTCCCCCATCTACTTCGTCCTCGTCGCCTCTTTGCTCAACTGTCATCACGGTCATGCCTGTCGCATTTGATTTGTTACTTTGAGCTGTGGTTACTTTTGAGGCGGTGTCTCCGCACAAGCAAATCTGTATCTTCCCCTTCGGATGGCAACAGTGGTAATACAAAAACATAAAGAAGATACCGATAAAGAAACCGCCCCAGACGAATACCAACGCCGGTAATCCGTACATCTTTTCTCGGGAATCCTGCTCGCGATACCACAGCCCGAACATGACCGTGTTCTCAACGAATATTAAGATGTAAAAGATGACCGCTCGGTATCTCGTTGGACCCTCTTTCATGTTGAAGAAACAGAAGATGTGTATGATTCCTATGACTGCATCAAAGGGTATCTCATCGTATTTTGACGTGTGGTATGACGTACGTTGCCATATCAGCCATGCGGTCATGACTGCCCAGTGAGCTGCAGCTAACACAAAGACCCACCACCCGTAGATTGACGCGAAAAGCGCCATTGCAAGAACTCGGGCAGTGATTGTGAACAGTCGCCAAACAATGATCAACGCTACGTGACTGTACGAAAGCTTCTCTTTGTCAGGTACAAAGTCCCGAAGAGCTTTCTGGTATATCCCAAGAGAAAAGGCAAGGGAAAGTAAGGACACAATAGCCGAAGCAGCTGAAATAGGAAATAGGAAATAGAAAATAATATAATTAGTTATAGAATGTCGGTAGGTGTATATAGTCTAGGTTTTAAAAGTCAATACCCACAAGTACCCTATCATATTATAGTTAAGTTCATGTTAATGTAATAATGGATTATGTTCAAACCATAATAGCTAGGTCAACCACACTTCCTCGGTACATCTCCTCACTCTCTATGCAGCAGATACTATCGATATACACATCAGCTCCTTGCCTCCTTCTCGTATTGTTCCCAAATCCCGAAAACAGGCTGCCTGTTAATCCATTCAATCGGTTGCCATACGCCAATGAAACCATGGACCTTAGTATGTCCATGATGAAACAAACTCTCTGCACCTCTGAAAAATAGTATTCCAGTTGACTTAGTTATAAAACATCTGAAAAAATACCTTTACAGTTCCTAATTTGTTGATCTAGACTATTCTCTGGAAGAGTTGCTATATAAATCAAATATTATCATTGTTTTTATCATCATAATTATTATTAATCATAGTAGTAATAGTAGTAGTAGAAGTAGTAGTAGTGGTAGTGGTAGCAGTAGTAGTAGTAGTAGAAGTAGTAGTAGTAGTAGTAATATGATAGTTATTGTTAATATTATCATTATTATCATTATTATCATTATTTATAAAAATTATTATTATTATTATCATAATTATCATTATATACCTCCGTTTAGAAATCTAGCCATCTGATTGGTCGAAATTGCAATCGTGATTTTAGCAATCCCCTCATACCCGCCTACCAGTCAATAGTCTTTTGAAAAGTGCCCTTATACCCGCCTACCGGTCAACTGTATTTTTTAAAGATGCCCGTTGCCCCGGGTAACATTTCGCATAAATTAATTTCTTGAAATGTTTTTTCTCACCAGTAAGCCAGAAGAGTTCTTCGCTGTACACCATGATGTATACTTGTAAGACAAGCTGAGGAGCCGATTCCATGAATGCTTCTAGAAGACGTAACATAGTGATGTCAAGCCGCTCACTTATCATTTCTTTATAGTATTTGCTGTCCCTCCGACTGAGAATGCCGAATTTGAACGTGCTCCAGTATCTGAAATTATATGAGATTAATAATAAATAACATTTCTAAGATCTATGAACCTCGCCTGTGGAGTTCCCTCCCATCATCTATTCGCGAATTTGACAACCTGGACCACTTCAAAGCTTCACTCAAAACTCACATCTTCCTTCAGAAATTTAAATGCTAATTATAGAGGAGCTCGCGCCTTTGAATGTTTTTTTCAAACAGATATATGGCGCCATACAAATACTGTTCATCATCATCATCAAAGAATAAGGAAAGACAATTACATTTTTTTTTTTTCGAATGACAAAGGATAGCATTTCCCTGTTTGTTCAATTATGTTGATAATGAGGTTGTAACTTTTGAAATATATGCTTTTTTTCGAATCCGAGCCAGTAAAACAGCCGGAAGATGCAACACATGATAGCCAGTCTTTTCCAGCCTATTTTTTCCGAGCGGGTGCCAGCTATCAGCATAAATTGTTAGCAACTGTAAATATTTACTTCCTTCTTGACGAGGTCGTAGTCTATATTATTATTTTCCGGACCCGGTAATACGCAATACTTTTGGATAAGAGATAATCTCCCTCACCTAAAAATACTGTTCTATCGAGTAATACAAATATTAAGATGTTTCACACTACCTCTTGATGGCTCCGAGTTGTAAAATGTGACTAGCTAGCCACTGACACCAGGCCCAAAGCTTTTTCCGTAATGGTCTTAAATTGTACTTTGTGTTTTGGTCCAGGTCTAAGATGAACCATCTAAAGCTGAAGAATTGCAAGACCAACGAGGGTACAAAAACAAAAACAAACGTCATGATACTCCATAATATATCACCTTGCCGTAAGTACTGCACACCGACTAGAAGATCTGTTACAATATCTGCAATATACAATGCAATTCCAGCCAAGACAAAAATGGCGTCAAGTGTTGAGAAACGTTCCCTGTCCGAGCAGAAACCACATGAGCTTATCCCCGCAGGTTCTTCTTGATCCGCTGAAGCGCCTTCCTGTTTGTCTTCTTGGAGATTGGTGTTGCTCGGTCCTTGTGCTGGCACAGCATCGCGTTCAAGTTCGCAAGGTGGAGTTGTGCCTACGCCATTGGAAAGGTCACCCACACCGGGGTCATCTTGACCTGATGACGAGTATTTCGGCTTGTCTTTTACATGTTCCGGGGGCATAAAGTTGCTTGGATTTGGCCCATGAGTTTGAGTTTCGCGGACTTCAAGTTCGGTAGATGGAGTTCTGTCTATTTTGTTCGCAAGGTCACCAGCATTTCCAGTATCTGTTGTCATGTTGAATGTCACGTGTACAGTAGAAAACTGAGGAAAAGTAGATGTTGACAAGGCCAACAGTCTATCAAACTCGTCTTGAATGTAAAATGGCGGTTGAGCCTACTATGATAAGGTGCATTCACTCGAACATCACTTTGTCCTTGTGCAATGTTTTAAATGTACAAAGCCTCTCATATAAATATCCCCGGCAGAGTCCAAAGTCCAAAGTATTTCGAAATGAATATTAGTGTGTATAATTAAAGCTTTACATATTAGCTAGTCGGAGTTCTACCTGAAAACCTGGTGTGATAAACAGTATAGTTACCACTTTGGACAATGTGGTTATAGAGATTGTGATTAAGATTTGACAGAGAATTACTTCCTTGTGGGATTTATGTGAACGATAAATTTTTGTTAGCTTTTCATTCTTTTCTGTTCTTCATCTTTACTGTGAGGAAGATTATCATTTTAGCATTCTCAAATTACAATGACTGCTCTTGGAAATGCTATCATTGATAATGATAATAATATGGTTATTTATATAGCGCCAATATCCGTCAGGCTCTGACGCTTATGGCGCTTTACACATATTACCCTGGTCGTAGTCGAGCTGCCAAAGTAACTAGCGCTCTAACATATCAGGTACCCATTTACACCTGGGTGGAGAGTGGCAAATGTAGATTAAAGGTAAAGACCAGTATTGGAAACGCCCCAATTTCAAAAAATGAAATGGAAGCTCTCATTACCAATCATGTGAAAGAATATGTTTTGACTAATACATGAGGATAAAAAATTACCGGGAAACCGCCTACTAATTCAAATATCTGGTAAATTTGTTTCTCTCATGGTCTGTGAGAGATATAGGGTAGTCCCATATACATCTTTCTGTGTATAGTGCTTGTAACTTTACGAAGAATGGGCAAAATTTCTTATCATTTTGATGATTCCAGAACCTTGCAGATGCTAGATGCTAGATGATCAACCTTTTCTGATCGATTCCACAACGTTTCTTTCACAATGCAATCGCATGACCATAACTGGTCTTTACCTTTAAAGTCTTGCCAAATGATATTAGTGCCGCGTGATCTGCAGTCGAGTGAATTATTCACTAGTCCACAACACCTCAACAACACCTCTGATATATTCAGTAAACAACAAAATTATTCCCACCCTCACCAAGCTCTGTAATTTGTTTATGTGAACAAATGATTTGTCTCAATTAGTTTTTCGTTGAGAATGTCGCGTATTAAAGCTTACATTAATAAGTATCAAGTACCAGGAAATTGGTAATTCCTTGTTTATGTTTCGTGAGCATGCGACAAACAATTTTTAGAATAAGTAGAAAAGACGATTTATCAAATTCCACTAGTTCACTTTTCATGTTGGCTGCAAAAGGGATACACTTATGTACCAATTAATAAAACGGTAACGGACCATAAATGGACTTATAGTCTCCTCCATTGCTTTTTCATCAATCCAACTTCTTTTATCAAACGAAACAACATCATCATCAACAACAAAAATGATAAGGAGAATCATCATCAATTATATTTCATGATAATAATGACAACAATAATAATCATGATAAATCAGAAAATCCAATATGCATTATAGATCTAATGGACTTATCTGAGGAGCAAATTCACAAAATGCACATAATCACAAGAGGTCTACAATTTAGTTTCAAACATTAAACATCTTTATTGCAACGTGCAAATGATAATATATATTGTGTATACATGTATTACATTTTATGTGCAAGTATGGAAATGGACCTCCTCCACACTATACTGAATTAACTCAGTTTTCCTATACTGCATGTACTATGGCAGTTATTTTCCTGAGGTAGTTCTTTCGAACCTACTAAATAAAAACAATTATCTTGGTCACAACTTGGTCTGTAGATCTACATATTTGGCATTCATCCCTAGCACATAAGTCATTTATTAAATGGTGCAATTACACAATTTTAATTTTAATTTTTTTTCTCATTTGTAAATCATACAAAACACATTTTTACATAGTAATAATATCTAAATTTTGTGTCTGTCTATCAAAAATACAAATACATTATCAATACATATAATGTATACTAAAATCTATAACAGTCATACAACTCTATTTCACTCATTTATAATTCATTTCAAGTACATAACATAACTAGGAGTACACTGTTGATCCTAATTGAATGCCTACAATCTAAATCAATACCCTTTTAATTTTTTTAAATCAACACAAGGCCCATGCATACAGACCTAACAAAATTTACTCTCTATCACCGCCCCCCCCCCCCCCTCCCCCTTAACCTCAAATTAAACCAGTGTGAGGCCCTGTATTATGTACCAACATGGCACCATAGAGCAATATTCAATTACACAGTAAGACATCCGACCATAATTTTACAATCTTTTACATCATAGTTATCGCACCGTTTGTATACCCAAACATCACATGGAGTGCTCATTGGCGCTCATAACCAGTTTATTATCTAAATGCAATCCCTACAACTAAGGAAATGAAGCACAAATGTTAGCCATCAATATCATAAGTTTTTTTTTCATTTTAAACCTTGAACGAGAATTAGTAAGGAATGTATGATTAAATGGTTACGTGCGTAGATTTTGTTTCTTCTTTTCAAATTACAATTAAAATTACAAAGTGATATCAATTACATTCAGCATTTGATTCATTACATGTATATCACATACCATTATATATCTAAATCAGACTACTTCATATAGCTTTGGTCCCATATTTTGTTTTGAATTCATTTCAAATGCCATACAGTGTATGTGTGTATCATAATGTCATCTCTTACTGAAGCTTTACACTTGTTTATACTTAACTGTTAAAAGACTTTCAATTGATATATTCTGCAAATTATTTCATGTCTTACTACCATTATTTTATCTGCCTTTTTTTTCTATTCAAAATACAGCAGGGCTCGGCACTGCAGGGAGCCCGGAGACATATGGTGCCCAACATTTGAAGTATTTACATACATGTCAATGATGCATACAGACTGTGAAATGTTCCAACCCACACCCACATCCCCTTCCAAAAAAGGTTAGAGGGGGGCCTGCATTAAGTATAACGATTTCATACAATGATTTGACACAGTCAACATTCAAAAATTGTAAATCCACAACCATCACATAGTGCTTTTGTGTTCTACACAGTCTATAACGATCTAGGTGTTCAAACAGGGTCTCATAAAGGACAATTGGTTGAACACAATTGTTCACTGACCTATTTCTCTCATCTTCTGAATTCCGATCGATTTGATTGAAATCAACTTTGTACATATAGTCTGAACACCTCCCCCCCCCCCCCCCCCCCACACACACACACAGTTAACATGTAGTACAACAGAACATTTATTGAACCGTACATGGCCATTTTTGAGCTAGCATAGATAATAAAACCATTGGATGACTTTTACATGTATATGTATATTGTACAGTTACATGTAAAATATACATGTGTGAAGAAGTTGTTCAGGAAAAATAAAATCATGCAAAAAATAAATGATTGGAAGTTCTTTGACGAGGCACCACAGAATATACTCTACTGTATTACATTTCACACACATGATTGAATGATTCCTGTATAGTCTTACATCATAAAAATATGTTTTCGTTCAATCAGAAATAATCCACAAGTTCATGTATATATAATTAACAGATAAACAATTCTGATACTTTCTCACACTGCTTATAAATACATCAATACACATATTATATAACCAGACTGCATGCAGTGCATCAATAGAACAAATGGTCAAGAGAAGGTCGAATTGTGGTGAAGGTAAAAAAAATATATAGGAAGAATATCACTTGAAAAGGATAGCTTTTCGAATGCCTTCATATTTGAAATCTGTTGATAAATAGTTGGTAAGGCATTGATCCTCATTACAAAGTCCCTCGGAGAGGACTCAAAGCCGTTGGTCCCCTGGTTGCTTACTTACAAGCATACACATGCTTTCTCAGCAATCAGGTAAAACGAAGAAACAAAAGGTTTGGAAGAAGCTTTCTGGCCACATGTGCAAATACCATACATACATATTTCTGTGTGCAGTGCACATGACCATACATACATATTTCTGTGTGCAGTGCACATGACCATACATACATATTTATGTGTGCAGTGCACATGACCATACATACATATTTCTGTGTGCAGTGCACATGACTTCAACAAAATATAGTTAATATTTTATTATGTTGAGGATCCTAAACCTCACAGTCTCACAGTACATTGATTCTTATGTACCCCGTAATCAGCCTTTCCAAGTTGCTTCCAGATAGTTGCATTCACAATGGAATCACTTGACCAGAACTGCACCTTATCTTAAAGCCCCACTGCACTAATTAAAGCTACATGTACTTGAGGCCTCTATATAGCAAACAATGCATAATTGGTGACCATGGTCCCCTTTTTCTTACGTTAATTGAGAGCTGATTAGATGAGATAACCACCTGCCAGTGACCCTGTAGGATGTCTAATATCCCTCCTGGCCAGACAAGTGCAGATGGGCTTTAAAAACCAGCAAGTCTAAATGTCCTTCAGCAAGGCTTTCATTCATATTCGACACTCCATTACCTGGCAAGAGACTATTACATAAACATGTACATTTATGTCAAAGGATTAAGGAAGACGTTATACTTGGTCAGAAGACTACATGAATGAACACGAGTGGACAGAGAAGATGGTGCACACGTTACGTACAGTCATGAATCCCATTGACATGATAGTAATGTAAAGTGCTTGAAATATTTCAAGTTTGCTAAGAGATCAGCTGGATGATAAATCTATCTGACAGGATCGGAAATGAGCAACAAACAAAAAGCACCAACACATATAAAAATGATACACACAAGTAGGGTAAGCCTCTATACAGAATTTGACTATACATGTACAGTATACACATAACTCTGTAAATGTAACTATTTTTAAATATACTTACACTTCTAAGAAATCTAAATACATAACAAGAAATATCCACTTGTTTCATTATTTTCTCAAATGAAACTTGCATTGTTACACCAGGTGTATTATGTGTGTAATACTGTACATGCATAAGTACATGTCCTTCATGAACCATTAGAGGTGTTTCCCTACATAAAGCATACAATGTGCTTTGAAAGGCCAATGGGCTCTGTCAATAGAGTATAAAGTATTTTACAACCGTAAATGCTAAACAATATGTGAGTAATTGAGGGTCACCCTCTACATGTCAAAAGAGTGTACTTCTCTGCTACAGCATGTTCAACAACATATTTACTTTAAAAGAATTTTGTTTTTAATTAACTACATGTAATCAAAATAGAATATAAGATAATTGGTATAAAGAAAAAGTAAATATCAGCTGAACAGTGAAATACATTATAGCAGCACACATATAACAAATGATTACATTGCTAACATAGTTAAATATCACACTAGTATAAAATAACACTAAACAAGCAGATGATAAATATAATTCGATTTTTTTTTTTTTTTTTTTTTTTTTTTTTGTATATGATTTCATACTAATTACTAAACCATGTGATTGGAAATTTACTGTGTATAAAATACTGTATTTTATGAGAATGATTACCCACATTCACCCAACAGAATAAACAATAATACTTAAATGAGAAGATTTAAGTAAAGTTCAATTCAATTAAAGTACAAGATCACTCTTAAGCAAATGTTTGTCTTCTAAAATAGAATCTGATGATGAGCCAAAGCAAACATGTCATGATTCAGTATTATGTTGACAGCAGAAATTATTGATTAACTAAAATAGAACCGTGTTCTCACATACAAATGAAAAAATTCACTTCTCAACAATACTGTTAAATGACATCAAGGAGTACCTTAAAAAATTATAAATTTGTGAACATAAAATATGACACCTCTGCCATCAAATATTATTGGACTTCAAATTCAATTTTAGTGAGATTGCAAGCAATAAAAATGGCATCAATTAAGTTAAAGATCACTCTACAAGTCTGCATAATTTGAAGTCACACAAGTTGAATTTTTCCCGGAGTCAAATAAATTTATTTCACCAAACTACAGTACCGGTATGCAAAACATGTTATTTACCCATCCTACATGTAAGTCGATTTTCGCATTAATAAGTCAAAATATCCAACTTTTTTTACAGTCCCTTCAGATTTGACTTATAAATGCACAGTTAACTTTATATTAATGTAATAGCCTTCTATTTGATAGGTTGAATGATATCAGGAGGGGATAAAGTAAGTAAGAGTATTTTGCAAGTACAGTTCTTACTTTATACTTGGGCATTTACTATGTTGAAAAAAGCAATTAAAAGCTAATGACATACTGAATTTGCTTAATGATAATAAACAGAAGTCAAGAGTAAATACATGTACATGTACATATGCAAACAGAAACTTAAAAATGTTGACAAAGGAATCAAGAGTTTGAAAACAAACTTTTGTTGGCATACAAATAACGAAAATGTGCAATTCTTAAAGCAACATGGTAGAATATACATGTACAGTAGTTGCTCAATAGATATAAACGAGATGATTGAAAATAGAAACAAACCTGCTAAATAGAACAGAAATAACAAAATTATTAATAACACAGAAAGGGTACTCGCAAAAAGAGAATTTGGTAATGAGAGCCCCCAAATAAACAATTAAAGCTTGACTTTGGTGTTTTGGTCTGTAACCTTCCAATCCCCCCTCCCCCCCCCCCCAAAAAAAAAAAAAAATCTACAACAACAACAACAAACAACAACAACAACATGTAATTCCTACTACAGGAAAACATTATGATATGTACATTACAAAAAGAAACAGCTGACAGGGAATCGATGTGCATTTCTGCGTAATAAAATGCATTTTGGACACAAGGGAGACGATTTCAGGACACTTGTACGTGAACATGTACATTTTACGATACATGTACATTACCCATTCAAGCTGATGTATGGAACGGAATCATAACAAAAATCACAAAGCGACTTTCGCATGCGGTTGTGTAGATACTTCAGTTGCATCTAATCTGAACACTGCCTGGGTATCTATCATTTCTGGTCGCATTGGGGATGTAGGGACTGCTGTCACTATACCATCCACATATTTTTGTTGTTTTGGGCTTGGTAGAAGCTCAGGATGTATATGACGTCGCCATTTATAGGAGAAGAGATTGGCATAGTATCTATCGCGTTCCGACATTTTCCTGCTCTTTGCACTGAGTTTGCTGTCAACATTGTTGACATACACTCCACCATCGACTTCATCTCCTCCATCTACTGCGGTCTCCTCATGTCCTCGATGCGACAAGCTCCTCAGTGCCACAGCGTTGTTTGACATGGTGTCTTCCCTCGACTGCTGTACTTCCTCTTCGTCATCGATTCCACAAAAGCAGAAAGGTAGCTTACCCGTAGGATGGCAGAAGCGATAGTAAAATGCCATGAGAAAGATGCCCATGAAGAACCCACCCCACACAAAAACAAGAGCGGGTAATCCATACATCTTCTCCCGGGATTCTTGTTTGTGATACCACAACCCAAACATGATGGTGTTCTCAATAAATATGACGGTGTAAAAAACAAGCGCTCGGAATCTCGTCCGACCTTCTTTCATGTTAAAGAAGCAGAAGATGTGAATGATGCCCATGACGGCATCAAAAAGGACTTCCTCAAACTTCGTCTCGCAGAAGTCCGTTTGTTGCCATACCAACCACAGGGTCATCATGAGCCAATGAGCACCAGCCACCACGAAGACCCACCACTCGTAGATTGCTGCGAACAGTGCCAACGCGATGACGCGGGCAGTGATGGTGAATAGACGCCAAAAGATGCGCAGTACCACACCGTAGTACGTGATCTTTTTTTTGTCGCCTCTAGAGTCTCGTAGAGCCTTGTGATAGGCTTCAAGAGCCCATCCAAGGGAGCTTAATGACACGATGGCTGAAGCAGCTACAAAGATGAAACAGAGAAAAACAATAATTTTAGAATGTAAGTTAAGTTCATTTGCAGAAATAGACAAACTTAAAATACTGCAAAATTTGGTAATCTGACTTCTTCTTTCATTAAAATACCAATTTTAGTTTCACTTTCATTTTCTGGTCTAATATGATAAGTGTTTGCACTTGAGGAGTTTATCTCACTGTTCACCAAACTGAGGTTAGGTGTCTTCAGACAGTTGCTATGAAGTATTTTGACAAATTAAAAACGATCAAATGATATTCTACATCAAAACAAATATGGAAAACAGTTAAACAGTTATCTTAGCATAAAAGCATGGAACTCAAGTTTAATATCATCTTCATCTTTAATCTCAATTTCATTTCTTCTAATGATTTTTTTTTTTTAATCCCACAACATTCACAATATTGCTTAGCCCTCTACACCCCAGCAACTCCACTCAACGGTCATTTAATTCATGTATATACTTTAAGGGTTCTTCTTAAAGGACGAGTGTGGCCCATTGTAAAGTATTCCCTTTCCCACCCCCCCCCCCCCCCCCCATATTTCTTGATTTCGTACAAGAGTCTGAGACGGTGAGACCCATTTTAGTTACCAGTAAGCCAGTAGAGTTCCTCGCTCTCTACCATGATGTAGACTTGCAGGACGAGCTGAGGAGCCGATTCCATAAATGCTTCTAGAAGACGTAACATGGTGATGTCACGGTACTCATAGATCATCAAGGGGTAGTATTCTTGGTTCTTGCGACTCCGCAGGCCAAATTTGAGGGTGCGCCAGTACCTGAAAGAAAAAGAATACACCACGTTGAAATGGTACAGCAAACATCATTTTCATTATACAGTACATGTACGTGTATGGGCAGTCGATCCAACCATAATCATCATAGTAATGTTGCTCTTATTTAAAAATCCCTTCCCATTAATCAATCAACGGTAACAGGTCAAGGTTTTGGGAAAACATGAAGCAGGTACTACACACCATGTAGTGATGCACTCTAGTCAGTCTTCAGTAATACAAGAATATATCAAATTTAATAATGATAACTCGAAGGGGGACCCCACCCCCCCCCCCTTTTCTGTCAAGAAGTATGGGGAAAAAGGCTCTCCCCCCACCCGCCCCGCCCCCCCTCCTCTAAAATAAAAAGAGAATGTACATCCTGGTAAGATTGAAAGCTCTACGTGAAGCGTACACAAAATCGATCATGTACATGTACATTTATATGTACATGTACATGAATTTCGTGAATGCATTAGTACACTGGTGAGAAATGTAAGTTTAATTTGTTGTACACTACATGTTGTCTCCAACATTTCTTGAAATTCTAATTACATTTCAATAGATTCTTAAGCCCTACAATTTACCTTTTGATCGCTCCAAGCTGTAAAACATGGGCAAACAGCCACTGACACCAGGACCAGAGCTTTGCACACCATCCCTTCTTCTTGTGCTCAGCGTCCTCGTCTAGATCCGACACAAACCATCGAAAGCTGAAGTACTGCAGGACAAGCGAGGGCAGCAGAACGAAGATGAACGTCATGATGGCCCACAGCGTGTAGCCAGCTCGGAAGTACTGCACCCCGACGACGAGATCAGTCACGAGATCTGCGATGTACATGATCATGCCACCTAAGATGAAGAGGGCGTCGAAGTTGGTGAAGCGCCCCCCGCGAACGCAGAATCCACAGGTGGGGGGCTCCTCTGGCTCTTGGTGGTTCAAGACGTCGCTCTGGATGCTTTCTCGGGGCTGGCCGTTGCCCGCATTTTGACTTTGTGGCGTGAATTCAAAATCGAGTTCCCGAGATGGAGTTTTGCGTAGAGCGTTGGTGGTGTCACCAACATCGGTGCTGTCGTCTGCTGTCATGGTAACGGGTCCCTTGTACAAAGGTGAGTCAGATTAGAGAAATGTGTAGCTCGGCAGTGGTGTTCAAGCCCTTAGATTTCATCCATGATTTGACCGAATCAGCTTCAAGCAAGGGCACCTAGTGTCAAAGCTCCTTTCTTTCACTTTTAATCACAGATTTCTTGAGTACACTCCAACTGTGTGTAGGCCTACATTGTATTTCATGAACCACTTTCAGTCTAATTGGCCAAGACTGTAGAGTCCAAAGTCCAAGACTGGTATATTAGCACCAATATTTCTACTTCTTCTTCTCTTCCTTTTCCAACAGGGAAGTGTCATAAACTGTCAACGAGGATATTCATGACCGCATCATGTCAGGCTTTTGCCGAGTGAAGTTTCAACTGCATTCTTTCTGTAATCTGTACGGAAACACAAGAGAACACAATATGCTTGTTATTGCTCCAAAACACTCATGTACAGTGTGTACATTAAACAAACTACACATCTACAGGTACTTGAACTGCTCATCATTATACACATACGTACATACAGTGTTTGTGTATGACTCAACACTATATTTACAATTGACAAAGTTATATTGTAATCCAGGCACAGGAGTGCTGCAGTAGGCCTACTTTGAATGGATCAACCATCCCAATAGAATACTAACATTTAAACACTTTTGCTTTAAAAAACATTTCTTTAAGCACTTACATAAAAAGTGCATGTGTAATGTACAGCTTAACATGAAATATATTTCAACTTAATGAATCATACATGCTCACAGAGCTACAAATGTAGGTAGAGATTAAACTCTGAGTCAACATCATGCATACATGTATATACAGTACTTGAAGATAAAATCTCAAAATACTACAGTTGTACACTTACAGCAAAGAAGGAATTAACAAGTTTGAAGCTGAAGCAGTAACTACCACTACAGTAAAACACATTTATTCCTAAACTTGTTTTCCTCCTTCCTAAATACAATTGTTCTCATTCCTAAACGTAAGATTAGGCAATCACTGACCAGTCCAAGATACACTGTACTTCCTGAATGTTGTTTGGGATCCTAAGCCTGGAAGTCCAAGCAAACTGATTTGTCTTGCTTGCTCTGGAAAATCGTAGTAGGTCCATTGTTTTATACAGTGTAAGCACTTCAAAAGATAAGCAAGTGCCATTAGTGGCTCAAATGTCAACATTGCAAACAATGCAGCAATTGCTATAAATAGCTTGTGTTCCATCTGGTGAACTAATCATCATTTAGAAATATGAATGTTAGTTAAATCGTGCTGGCCTCATTCCAATTTCCTACTAATATCAGCTTTTTCGCTGACAGGTTTCCTTACTTTGAGGGTCGAAGGTAATCGTTAGATTACTGTACTATAGAGAGCAATTCCCATTGCCCAAGGCATTGCATTAGTCCAGTTGGTCAGCCATGACAATACCGGTATTGTTAAATGTCTGTTTACAAGTATATGCCCTCTCCTCCTCTTTACCACCTCTCCGCTCCCTTCCCCTCTTCTCCCATCTTCCCCTCTCCCATCCCTTCCTGTTACTCTCCTTCCTATCCCCTCCCATGCTTTATACACCCTTCTTCCCCTCCACCCCTTTTCTTTCTTCTCCCCTTCCTCCCCAATATTAGTGATTGCAACACTGTTTTGCAAGAACGCCCTTTTTTCTCTGTTACCCTGCCCCACCCATGCCAAATTTGTACGTAATTAAAATGTGAAAATACCAATTGAGCAGATTTCAATCAGGAAAAATACTGATTAACATCTGTTTACTCATCAAATCTGTGTGATTCACTTTAGAGATATTTACAATCATACATGCATGTACATGTACCGGTACCTGGAAATGAATTTGGAGTATACTTTTTGTGTGTGTTGAGTTATATTGTCAATGCAGTGACACAGTTATTATCCTCTTGATTGTAAAGCCAAGTCCGGTAAACATTGAAACAAGCATGATTTTCCATCTTTTCATTCATATGTTTTCATGAAGGGCTCTTAGGGCAGACATGTAAAGCTTTCCAGAGATGAATTCTTATTCTCTGATTTAATGCAGCTTTAAGTTTAAAGGTAACAGATCACCTAAAAAGGATTGTGTACCATACAACTTCTGAAAAACCCATGAAAAAAAAATACCTGGCAGTCTGCAATTATTTCTAATATAGGAATATGGAGGAAAAACATTATGTATGTATACAAATGAATCTCATGTCGGACTTGGATTCCATCATTTCCATGCAGGTAAGTGTCAGCTTGTCTACTGGTACTCACCTGTCACTTTTACCTTCTCATTCTAAAAGTTACCTTTCAATATCTAACCTTGCTAATAATTGAATCTGACATGTTGCAGGTACACATACATGTAGTATAATTGCATGGAACCACAAACAATCACATCAAACTTGAGGGTAGGAGGTGACTGGCCCTCTTAAAGATAATTCAGCATAAAAACCTGTATACCACCAAAGATTCCTTTATCATCTAAGAAGGTAAAAAGGATTAAATCAAATGAGTTTAGCCCAAAGGCATCCACTGTCTTGTGAATAACAGAAAAGTCTCTAAAAGCGCACAAATCCACAAAATGATGTTTGATGTAATTTCAATATATATTGATTAAATCCCTCCTAATCTTAAAAGAATACACTGCAATCTAAATGGAGGTCTTGTCGGGATAATGAGGCTAGTTACTCCCAAGGACCTCTACACGATATTCATTTGTGCTGATGTGCTGCTGAGACTAAATACAGCAACTTGTAGGTTTTCTCATAGGAGATTTTCAGCTTACTTTGTTATTAGCCCCAGGAGATGTATTGAAATGAACGAGATGGTGTCATTAAAAAAAAAGTAAAAAAGTAAATGTAAATCCTCTACCTGGTTGCAGGGCATTACTACATTGTAGTAGTACAGTAGTATAATGCAAGAGTGTTAATAGTATCTAATGTGTATATTCACTTGTCTGTGTAGTATCCTTGTCTGTATCACACAAAGCTGCATTACTATCCTGGCTGTGTATTAAAAGCTGTGCTATTGATTCTCAACATTTCATACACCACTGTACAAAACTCAACTGATTTCACTCAAAATCGGTACTTTCGTGACGATTGATGACACCTAAATAGCAGTAAAATACAATTTTTTGAACTTTCCGATGTTAGAAAGAATAATTTAAAAATTCAAATTGTGAGTCTGCACTGTCAAACCTGCCGATCAGCCGCATCGGCATGATTGTGTGCATTTGTGTGTTTATATTAGGGTCTACTTCTTGTTTGTAAAATGAGAGTGCAGACACTGATATTATTTGCAATATCAAAATCACACAAGACCGCATGCCGCATTCACTAGTTGTGGAAATAACATTGTTCTTGGTTCAATTTGATGAGATTTTGCAGGCATGACAGGCAGGCTGGGAGTCTTTCCTGTTCAGCGCCAAAGATGCTTTAGAAGAGTTATGATTTGCAGTGAGTTAGATCTAGGCCTAGAACGATTTGAATTTAGTTTTCACTCATCTTCACAAATCTCGATCTCAATTATAAAATTATAGGCCTAGTCTAGATCTAGTACGGAGAGTAGCGTTCACTGTTTACAATTCCGGCCTTCCACTCTCTAGCAACGCGTCGCCTGGCTTCACTAACAATTATACTTTATAGTTACAGCTGCAATTGAGCTTCTTCGCACTTCACATCAAATTTTTAGTAGGGTGGGGCTGCACAGCTCACAGGTAATGATCATTGGCTATGGGCGTAGCATTTTAGCTCACCCTTTTCAGCTTTCCTTTGACATCATCTTTTTCAGATCCGAAAGATATGAACCTCATAACAAAAAAGGAGTAACATACGCATGATAATCGAAAAAAATTCTCACCTGCGTAACTCAGCGACAAACGGGGAAAAGCGGGTGGAAAAGCGGAGCTATCAGTGAAGGAAAAATGTTCTACTGTAGACTGCAAGCGCAAATACAAGTACAAGTACCGTACCCTGCCCGGTTTCCGCCCGATGGGCAGTTTTTCTCAGATAACTTCTCTGAAAATGAATTATACAGGCGCTAATGTATACCAATTTGTTGCCAAAATTCTAGCAAATCTAGCTATGCCATTCTTACGCCCGAAATCATAAGCGATTGTCCGTAGCGCGCCGTCTGCGTGAGGCATTTTCCTTGCCTAATTCCGCCTAGACCCGCCCTAATTCCGCCCGATGGTGGGCGCGCATCAAAAGTATAGAAAAAGGAAACATCTCGGGTACACGTTAGGCCAAATCAAATTGCTTCCCAGTAGAATTCGATCTACATGTTATTTTGATAATTGATATTTCTTTCTTTATTTCTTCCCTTGCCTCTGTAGGTCTAATGCAAGTGCACTGTTATTTATCAGTTTCTGATCTGGAAAAACAATTTTTTACTGCCTTTGGAAAATCCTGCGACTTGTCTATGATGTTTTAATAATGTGTTCAGTCAAATCTTCAGTGTTCTATCGCTAATCGGGAGAGGGGAAGAAAAAAAAATCCACAATAACAACATTTTGTCAAAAAAAAAACTACCACTATTAAAGTAAACACTTTGGAAAGAGAGTAATGGCACTTCATTTTTTTAATTTTTTTTTTTAAACTGCAAATTATTCTCGACATCTCTCAAATCTTGATTAAAAAATAAATTAGCGTATATTTTTAGGATATTGGTTGGAAAAGCATAGCATTTTCGTCATAGGAATTATCATCATCGCCGACATCGTCTTAATCATCATCATTACAATTTTAGGGTAGGCCTATGTGACGCAAATGTGGTTTCCTGTTTGATTATTTGTTCAAGACTTCAAGTTGTTGTGTTTTTTGTTTTCTAGTTGTTCTAAATTATGCAGTATTTTATGCATTCAATAATAATAGTTCAACTTGAAAGATAAAACTTTCCGAAATGATCTTGAAAACGAAGTCGTCGATTCATCACTTCCATGGGGGGGGGGGGGGGGGGGGGGGGGGGGGGGGGGGGTAGTGAGCACATTTTTTTTTTTTGATCCTCAAAAAAATTTCAATTTGCACCCCCCCCCCCTTGAGCGCCAGGGGGGGGGGGCCAACCCCCAAAAAAGGTAAAAATCACGTGATTTTACATGATTTTTTTCTCAAGGGGGGGGGGCCGGGCCCCCGGGATCCGCCACTGCCCCCACCCCCCCCCCCCCCCCACATTTTCTACATAATGCTACATGTTAAATTCATCCATTCATCTATTTATTTATTCAATATTCATTCATTTTATTGCCGAGAGATATTTATGTTATGGATAGAGATGAAAAATGTTCACCTTTTATTCGCCATAAAACTTTCGCAAAACTAACAACGTAAGAATCACCTTAGCAATTTGAAAGGCCTGACAGGCGTATGCCCTTAATGTATTATTTATACTACTCTTTCGATAGCCATTCATATAGGTTTATTTCACATGAAACAACAGACTGGGATTTTAGTTTCTACCCCTATATTTATTTTATTCACAGTCAACTGAGGGAAATTTATGGCAGCGAAAATGTCATGATTCATGTTGGTCATGTTGGTAAAATTAGATAACACACAAACAATTGAAAAAAAATTGAAAAATAATTATAGCCTAAAGCATAGAAGTATTAAGAAAGAAGGATATAAAATTGAAGAGGGAGACTAAAAGAAAAATGGGGAAAAGGAGGGATGTAATCGAAGAAACATCCTGTATCGTATTATAAACAAGCACTCTTTTCGCTACAAAGCCACGACGCTGGATTAAAAGGCGACACAACATGAATACAAACTTTTTGCAAATCTATACCAACCCTGGCAACTTTTTTAAAAGCCGGACCTATTTTTTGTCATTGGGATCACTGTCGGAGAACCGAACTTCAAGCATTTCTTAATATCAATCATATCTAATTTTGTCACAAAATTTAACTTCATGACTAGTAGGCCTACATTAAATTACAAATCAATAGACCACATCGTTACCCGAAATTGTCGGTTGCTCGAACGAACGGCCAAACATCATTGCAACATTCTTCGGGGGGAGGGGGGGGGGGCTTCAATCCCGGCCTCCCACCTTATTCGCCTATCATAATAAGGACAATTACACCCCAGAAAACTACTCCCAAGGATAATTACCCAAATGACAATTACCCCTCGACGACTCAAACTACGCCCAGAAAATTACCCCCGATGACGATTACCCCCATCTCTGAAACTTAACCCCTATATAGGACATTGACCCCCCCCCCCCCCCCCCCCGGGACAGGGTGAGTTTATGTTACCCCTGGGGGCAATATGTCTTTCTACACAGCCATTCTCAATGTTTTCAAAGTAGTAGGCGTCATGATTCTCAGTATCATTATATGGCTGTATTCCTCTTTTGTTATGTACATAACAAAAGAGGAATACACCCTTGACCATTTTATTATTGTTTTGGTTTCGGCCAGGAATACAGACTGGTCAAATGGCCTAATCCATCAAAGTTATGAGTCATGTTTCGGGCTATACTGTAGGACTGGTAGGATTTCCCTGAATTCAAGTTCAGGGGGAACATGAAAGGAAGTGGACCTGTTGACCAATGGGAATTTAATATTGTATGACCCTTCCCACTTTCTCAAACTGTTGCCCACTGGCGTACCTATGGGGGGCAGGGGGCAGAGTGCCCCCCCCCTGACGGGCTCCAGGGGGGAAAAAAGAAAAAGGGGAAAGAAAAGAAAAGAAAGGAAAGGAAAGAAAAAGAAAAAAGGAAAAGGGAAGAAAAAAGGAAAGAAAGAGAAAAAAGGAAAAAAAGGAAAGAAAAAAGGAAGAAGAAGAGAAAAGAAAGAAAAAGGGAAAAGAAAAGGAAACGAATAAAAATGGGGAAATTTAAAAAAAAAAGACCATGGTCGTACGCACCAGGGGGGGGGGGGGCAGTTGACCCCAGATATTTTGAAAACGTACAGTTTTTTTCCTGAAAATGTAGTGTAGGCCTATACCAAATCCTTCAATTCTACTTTTGAAAATGCAAAAGTACCCTCTTGACCAGTTCGGTCGCTCGAACTCCCTTCACTCCTTTTGCTTTTGAGATTCTTCGAAAACTTTTAACGCATCTTTCCCCCTCCCCCACCAGAAAAATATTCCGCATACGGCCCTGAAAAATTAAAACAAATGAAAATAGGAAAATATAAGTGATATAACAAATTCGAAACTCTTCGCTGGCGCGAACTGCTTGCTAGCCTATTTTGTATTAAATGTTTTCACTTGCTCGTCCCCCTGAAAAAAGAAAAGGATTAGTATTGCCTAGAATACAATTGTGCCTGCCCCGACCTGCAACCATGGCAACAATAACACACAATACAGTGCGTCCCAGAAAAAGCGAAACCGAGAAGTATCGATGTTTTATCATAACTTAATCACAACCATAATGAATGAATGATACATATTTGGAAAGCTTAGAGTCTCTTCTTTCAGTTGATGCTACTCCGATGATGCATATTTCACGCATGAGTGATTAAAAGCAATTTGAAGGAAGGAAACCAAAAAGACATTTGGCGGGCGGTATCTGAATTTCGAAGAAAAATTCACATTTCTAGAAAGTTGAGTTTCTGCCCTTTCATATGACACCTCAATCAGGAAAAATGAGCGAGGAATAACAAAGTTCTGTTTGTTTAAAGTAGCCCTTACATGTTCATAATTTTAACAAACGAATTCGTTTTCACTGGGTGCTTGCCGTAGCAAAAAGCAGATTTGACAAAAGACTTAACTCCGTTTCGTTGGCAATCAGCCATGCATGAAGACTCTCGTCTACGGCTGATTGTCAATGAAACGGAGTTAAGTCTTTTGTTAATTTCGTTTATTGATACGGCAGGCAGCCAGTGAAAACGAATTCGTTTAATAAAATTATGGAAATGCAAGCACTACTTTAAACAAACAGAACTTTGTCATTCCTCGCTCATTTTTCCTGATTGAGGTGTCATATAAAAGGGCAGAAACTCAACTTTCTAGAAATGTGAATTTTTTCTCGAAATCTAGATACCGCCCGCCAAATGTCTTTCATATGGCTCCGTTTAGTCTCATTTCACAACGCCCCCTATCGTCAGAGCATGGTCAGATTCAGCAGCCTAACATGTTAGCCTATGGACGTTTTTTTTTAAAAATCGTTAAAAATTCATTTTTTGTTTAAACGAAAAGCACATCCACCCCGACGTACGTTATCACTAGCTCTTTCATTGGAGCCCTCATGTCTAATTGACTTTTGAAAGTTCACCCACCGTAATTTTTCAAAATAGGTTGCAAGCTCGTCATTGCCTATAAAACACATGTGAAACAAGTCTAACTTTGGACTCAGTTTACCAAGCGATTTGAAGATTATAGGTCGAGCACACGAAACATAAAAAGCATGAATTATCATAGATCACTTCTGCCTATTTCGTTTTGTCCATTTCATCCAACCCGGCCCCCACCGTAATTTTTCCATTTAGTAAAAGCAAACATTTTGCCGAGTTTAGCAAAAAACATGAATATTCATGAACGGTCAGACAATACAGCCTTTTAGTACGTAACGTATAGTGAATGGGAATGTGCGATGATCCGTGTAGGAGGTAGAGGTCAGTGGTTTGTGCTGGCAATGTTCACGCGAGCGAAAATGAGACAATCGGAGCAATATGTTGGTTTCCTTCCTTCAAATTGCTTTTAATCACTCATGCGTGAAATATGCATCATCTGAGTAGCATCACATGAAAGAGGAGACTCTAAGCTTTCCAAATATGTATCATTCATTAATTATAGTTGTGATTAAGTTATGATAGAACATCGATACTTCTCGGTTTCGTTTTTTTCTGGGACGCACTGTATGTAAATGTTGCTAAAAGAGACTAATTCATTTTTCTAGCTCGCTACACTCGCTCGCAAATAAAATGAATAGACATTGCTTTGGAAACAATTGTGCCCACCCTTGACCTGCAACAATATCATTAAAAATGGAAGAGTTTTTTCGCCCTCTCGCCAAAAAAGAATTGAATCGCGTTAAACGCGATTGCGTCCATCCTGACCTGCCCCAATAAAAACAAGTTTATTTATTAATTTCTATTAAAAGAGAATTTTTTGTTTTGCTTGCTCGCTATGCTCGCTCGCCAAAATGGAGTTGCCACCGCTAACGTGTCCGCCCCAACCTGCAACAACCAGTTAATAATTATGTACCAAACGTTATTCAAAGAAGTTTTGGTGTACTCGTGCTCGCCAAAACGGAATTAACATCACCTTAGACATGGTTGTGTAAGCCCTGCCCTGCAAAACAAAACAAAAAAACACAAAAAAATCTGAAATTTATGAACCAATTATCATTACAAAAATTTTGCTCGCTCGCCAAAATAGAAATAACACCGCTTTTAATAATCACGTCCTTGACATGGAACAATGAACCCAAGTTTAAATACCATATTTTCCCTATAAAAGAGAAGTGATTTTTTTGCTTGCTCGCTACGCTCGCTCGCAAAAATAGAAATAACACCGCTTTTAATAATCACGTCCCTGACATGGAACAATGAACCCAAGTTTTATGTACCATATTTTCCCTATAAAA